TACAAGGCCATTTTATGCCATTAACCTTCTTTACATCAACACAGTATGTGCTTAAATAATAACAGACCTTACAACTGACTTGATAGTTTCACCAAACAAAAAAATCAAATTCTCCATATACTTTGGTCTATCTATAAAGATTTTCAGACAGATAGTCTTTATCTAAAACATCTTTCAAAGAGCTAACAACATAGACAGAAAGTCCGTCTGTGCAATCCGTCTTGATTTGTTCCTCTTCAGGATTCATCTGACATTTGTGCACACTACAGTACTATACATGTTGCTTGATTATATTTTTATATTCTCCAAAATCCCACCTTCTTTTCTAAGAAAATGGAATGCAATCTTAACAGTACAACTGCTTATTTCAGAAAAATCACAGCACTAATGACTCATATTCAAAAACTTTTTTCTTATTATGCTTGTTATTATTACAGAATCCATTAATCAATTTATATTGTTGACCTATGCTCATTTAAAATTTTAAGGACATTGGAAATATCTTTTCATCTTCCAATCTGCAAGGTTGTTAATATAAAAACAATACCATTTTTCTTGAGGGGAAGTGCTTATTCTTCAAAGTATGCTTTCCACATACAAGAATAAGTACTTATCATAAAGTAGCAGTTACGCTTTCTTCAGATTGTTTCTCAATTATCAACTCATTGGATTTCAACTATCAATCAGTTATATTCTTTACATTGATGTTAAAGTACACACAAAAGTCTCCATGTTCAGATGAAAAAAAACAGGCAAAGGCTAAGTGGCAAACTTCAGTATTTAGGCAGCAGCACGTTACTCTTGTGACTAAAACTTAACATGAACTTTGAAATAATTTAACAAAGTCACCATTAAACTTTATAAAATTAGTAAGAAAATTATAACTCTTCATAGGTCCTTTGCAATTTTTCCCCCAAATCACAAGCTTGAATGAGATCTTCCTACTTAACAGGTCATTCTCATTGCCAGTATACCTACAAATTTACTGTATCTCAACAAAAAAATAAAGATTTCATGTGTTTATTGTCTCCATGTTGCTATCCACCAATATGCAGTTATTATGTACATGCAGACAGAAAAACTGCAAGACAAGGGATGACTAGCAATGACAGGAAATATCAGGTGTTAGCAAACCCAAGCGTTTAGTTACACTCTGAGCCAATAAGAGTGATTTTTCTGTTGTAAAATTTCTAGTACCCTCTGTAAAACTTGGGTGAAGAACTGCTAAAGGTAATTCAGAATTTTAGTAACAGCATTCTTTTAAAAAATATTTGAATGTTGTTGGTTTGTTAGTGTTTGACCATAACTGCTACCCTGCAATGCATTCTCTTGTAGAGTTATCCCTTCATCTGTATTTTTGTCCTAGTAAAAGGACAGAGGAATCCATAAAGCTTATAACTGAGGCAAAAGCCAGGAACTTTCTTAACAACAAACTGCTTTGTCAGAAATCGTATTAAGTACTTGAGCTGTTGCTGTAACATCCTCCTAAATTTAAGAAACCACAGAAATACATTACTTGCATTGACTTAGAAAACTTTACAAATTATATTTCACTTCAACTTTTGCTACGACTTTCCTTTCAAATCCATTTCTTCTTCAAGTAGGACAATCCAAGAGCCAGTCATATACCAACAAAACCAGAAATACTATGAATAAATGAATATTCACCACTGGAAGATTTCTTTTGACTTGTATTTCCAGAAACACAGATGATTTACCAATAACATTAGTAGAAGTAGCTTAAACTACTGTTTTTACACAGCACCAAAAAGCAGTGCAGAGAGGAAAAAATATGAATCCTTTATAAATGGCAAAATTCTTAGGATTGTAACAGGAGCCTACTCCAATGTTCATTTAGAATTAGAAGCCACGGAGTAGTATTATCGCAATACACAGTATAAACTGTACGTACTCTAAAAGACTTGTTAGCAGAACCTACTTATGTCAGGAAATACTTTTTGAAGTAGAACAGGGGATAATAATTAAGCTTTAACAGGAAGATAAGGGAGCAAAAGGGACTGGGAGAAGGACACTGCAGTGATATTGCCTCTTGCAATGTTTTCATAATTTTGAAGTGATGTTCAGTGTGTTTGTCCTAGTGCCTGCAGCTATACGATCATGCAATTACACTGAAGGATCTGTTGGAAAGTAAAAATTATGAAGAAGCAGGCCAACTATCTCCTCCCCTTTTTTCTTTTCCCCTTTTTTCTTTTTAACTCAAGAATTAATCTGGAGAAGATTGTTTCCATCACACAAGGAACCAAATGAAATACACACCCAAGGAATATTCGAGATAGCAAGTTTACCAGTAAATGCAGTTTCAGAAGCAAAAGAAAAGGTCATGAAACTGGGATGAGTTAAAAAAATATTATGAGATGCAGAGATTACCTAATGTTTATTGGTCTACCTCTCAGTTAAACAGTGTATAACAGAGTCCAAAATGGAGAAAGATCTTAAGCATATTTTAAAAAGGTTAGTTATCTAGGGTAGAATAAGAAAGTCAGAGTAATTGGGCAACATAACACAAAGACAAGTCTGTGCAGAACTAGGAAAATCCTCCTCTAGAAGCATATGATCTTTAAGTCTTAAACTCTAACTAAAGATTACATAGAAATGTGTGAAAGACAATAGAAACTGTACTTAAAAGAACAAATCATCTGCAGCAGGGATTAAGTGGACTTAAGTGATTTGATAGGTGTTTTCCAGCTCTAAATGCAGTTTTGTTCTTCTGATTCTACTCCTTGCAAGCTTACATCATCGACTAAAGTTAGTGGCAAGTCACTACTACTTGCTCATGATAAAAAGTTGCTATAATCCCCTGGTGAGTCACCTTTGAGACAGAAGTACATGCTGAAGGTTGCTTGATTTGATAAACGGTATTTTCAACAACACAATATGCTTCACTTTATTTAACACCACCACAATGTGTTCCCAGAAAAAAAAACCCTCATAAAAGCTTGTATTTCAGAAATGCTTGCTTTGCATCTCTTATGTTCCTTATTGCTTTGTGTGTGAGAAAACTTTCCAGCACAGCAAGCCTGAAGACAACCACTACACTGTGGCACTCTTCCATGTAAAAAAGAATTGGCCAGGCACTACCACATACTCTTTTTCATAAGATTAACCTTTAATGATTTAGAAAATACAGAATTTGGAAGTGTAACTTGGCAGGCAGAATTATTTTTTCATGGCAACACACCAAATTCTGTTTTTATTTATCAATATGACTCCCATCAGTTAAGTTATTCTTGAATACTGGTGGGATATTTGAGCATGGTATATATGAGCATGGTATACGTAAGCCTGGAAACTGGTCCAATATTTAGAAAAGACAAAATGACGTTTCCAAGAGTGAAATGGTAATAGAAATTGACAAATATTAAAGTTTCAATGGTTACAAGTTGCAAGTTTAAAGAGTTTTATATATATGGGGTTCCCTGGACAGAGCTGGAGATGGGATTTGGGATGGCAAATGTAATAAAGCACAGCTAAAGGAACACAGGATCTTCAATTAGGCAGATGCCATGACATATGACTGTAAAGAATACACAGTGCTACTTCCTTTGCTGGAAAGAAGACAGTAACCAACACTGTTTCAGCATTTTGTGGAGTGGAAAGTATTTATGCTCATCCATCTTCTGCACAAGTACCTTTCCAGTGTCCTTAAGCTAGACACTGCTGTGAAGAGAGTGAACTAAGGGGTGGGCTAACAAATCTGTTTTTAAGTGATAATGCTGTTACCAAATTTTAGGGAGTACCAGTTGTACACAGGTTATAAAATTGGATATAACCATGGAAGAAAATTCTTTAAAATGCTTTGGTAGCTAATCATAGAATCATCTGGGTCAGAAGGGACCTTCAAGGTCATCTAGTCCAACCCCCCCACAGTCATCAGGGACACCCCCAACTAGACCAGGTTGCTCAGGGCCTGTTTGAGCTGTAATTGCTCCACAAGCAGTGATTATGCTGTAATTCACCACAAGTGGTGAATTCTCTTTGTAGCTAATGGACGATATTAATTTTCTGAGCAAAACTCACCAAAACATAGAAATAAAAGATGCCACAGGAACAACCACAGCCACTATAAAAAAATAAAAATGCTTAAAGGGGAGAGATATAAAGGAACTATGTTCTGACTTGATTTTCAGAATGGACAGCATGATGTATATTTCCCAATCCCACTACAAAGGACAGTCTCTCCAGTAAGGAAGTTTCCTCTCCAAATGCAGTGAAGCCTTAGTATTTGTGAATTTAAAATGTTTAAATTCTCAATCATGTTATTTCTCATATTAAACCACTAAGAAATGCTTTTTGTCCCTCTAAGAGTAGGTGCTGCAAGATTAAGAGTGACTTCAACTATTATGCTACAGGATTCTACTGTGCAGTCAATAAAATAAGGGTGATAAAGAGCTGCTTTTCAGTTGCTCTTTTACTCATGAAAGGTAGTCAACTGCAGTGGATACTCTGTACCTCGCACTGCTTGACTGGCTGGCTGAGTCGTATGACTTGGTGCAAAGCAGCTGACAGAAACCTTCCCCTACACACATCCTAGTCCACTCACCTGGAAACCCCTATATGAGAGAATAAATCAGGTCTGCAGTGTTCTTGGGCTGCTGTTTATGATGCAGGTAGTACATCTGCGTGGAAGAATGTCAGCATGGCTTTCAAGGAATTCATATACTGAGAACTGTGAACAATGCTCCTTACATTTAGCAGAGTGTACCATTATCCTGTAAAGCATACTTCTATATGGCTACAATACTAAGCAAGAGGATAAGTTTTTTAAGGTTTGCCCCTTGGCACATTTGTTGAGACAATGGTAGAAGCAAAAACCTGCAACTGATAAAAGCTAAACCCATATAAAGATGTGGAAAGCAGACATCATCAAAACTATTTAAAACCATACCTATTGTAAGTTCAGGTAATGATTTAAATAACATATTATGTAATGAGAAATGCAAGACTCCAGAAAGAACAGGGAACTGAGGTTTTCTATTTACCTTTGGTATTCCTGAAGTGTCAAGCCAATTCTGGAAGATACTTTCTACAGTTAACCCAGATCTTAAAAAAAAAAAAGAAAAAGAAAAAAAATTAGAAGATGCATGCAAAAATACCAAATTTTCCACATGACAATTAACTCTTCAGAAGATGAGCAAAATCTGAATTCCAATTATTGGCTGTACTGTAGTGGTATTACATTCTTGTTTTTTTAATGAATAATACCAGCAGATATGAGCAAATTAAAAACAGATCAGTTTTTTTGTGCTTAAAACTCAGTGATAAATGCAGTGCTTATGGGGATTGACAGAGAAAGTGTAAGGTGGTAAATTGCATTTATGAAACATGTAAAGTATGAACAGGTGTTCTACTTCTTATTGAGTGGATTTTTGTTTCTTTTATGGAAAAAAAATAACACAGGCAAGTAAAATTAACCCAAGGTATTCAAAAGCAGTATTTTGTTATAGAAGCAGCCTAAATGTAAAGCTAAAATACTGAAGAAAATGAAATGAAATACAAACTTCCTTAAGCTTTTAGGTTTTAAAAGGCACTGATGGATATTAACCCTCAAAGTTATCAAGTATGTAATATATTTCAGATTCATATTTTCTGCACTTTCTTTGTATCCTGATAACATTCACAGTGAAGTCACAAAATAGTTTGAAGCCCCAGCGGGTAATAGTTTGTCATGATAAAGCTATGTGTGACTGCAATAAGTAATTGCAAATTCAGAAATTATATTTCCACTTTTACTTTTGTAAGCAACTTCTGTTGCATTTACTTCAGCTCTGGTTGAAGTCTTCCGAACTTGCAAGGAAGGCAATTAAAAAAAAATAAAAATAAATCACACTGTTCATACATATAAAAGGAACTTGAGTAAGCCCTCAATGAATGTAAACACTCTGAAGAAGCAGGATAGAGGTGCGTGGTCCTGTCCATGGTAATGCCTTGACAAGACTCATTCTAAAGCTTGCAGCTACCTTCATGTGTGCAATGCAGACTCATAATCAACAGAGCGTTCATGAAAAGAACAGCCATTTATAAGCTCTGAAACAGGAAGGCAAGCAACCCAATACAATTCTTATTTGAATTACATGACAAAGAAGCTTTTCCCTCCCCCGACCCCAAGCCCTGACAAAGCTGTGCTCAAAATTCTGACCCTCAAAGATGTTTATTTATGGACTGTATCAGAGACTAAGAAGGATTTGTAATGAATATATCCGTCATTTTTACTGAATGATTTTTAAGCACCTTTAAACATTAACTTTCATTATGGGAGAGAAATCAATCACTGTTGTGTTTGACATGCAAATGGGAAAACTAAGGATTAGAGAACTTATGGAGTCTCAAAAGCAGTCAAGCAATATGTTAGTGGATGGCCCTGGAACACATTGATAGAGTAAAAATTTCTGTGTGTTTACTGATCATAGCTATTACTTTTTTTTTAACTTAGTTTTATTTGGAATGAGTAACAACTTAAATTATTTTATATTAATACACGTAACAAGCACTTTTCCAGACCTGGCTTATATCCCAAGTTAGATATTTTTATCCTCATTGAATCCAAGATGAAAAATTTACCCTCCATCTCCAAGCAGAACTATAAGTTAGCATTCCTTTGAGCTAGAATTAGCAGCTTCAACCTCCACTCTACACCATTGCATTGTGAGATTTACCACTCCTGCTCAAACCAAGCAGTATTCTGAAGGAGGTCCATTAAACTGAGCAGGTCTACCTAACAGAATAAAATTCAGCCAAAGTGAATTAGGGGTGGGAGAATCTGATCAAAATTATCAGAGTCTTCTCTCTGATCAAAGAGTCAGCTGGCTTCTCATTGAGTAATTGTTCAATCCTATATGCAAAAAATAAGCAATCTGGTCTTAGTAAGCTTGTCCAACATACACAGGCATTTTGTAACAAAGGCAAAAACCAGACACCAAGTGCCTTAAACATAAGAAAGTCTTTCCTCACAAATACTGCCCTGTGTCATTCAGCTACTAAGACATGTTTGCATACAGGGGCTTCAGCATTATACTGAAAATCAGAAGAAGCAACAAATCAAAGAAAAAGAACATTCAGATTACAATGACAATAAAGCCATTTTTACATGCTTTCTTTTTCTATTAATAGTTTTCTTCATGTTTTGATATCTTATGGTGCAGGCCAAGGAGGCTTAATATAGAAACTGTACTAGCCTATGTGCTGCTGGTAATATATTTTGATAGCTCATGCAATTTAAGTCCAAGCTTTCCTTCAACAGCATCTTTATAGTAAGAGATGATATACCAACGTGGTTGGTTGGGGTGACTTAAAAAGTCCCAACAGGGAGAATAATTCCCATAGAGACAAAGAAATCTTCCTAATCACTAAATCTGAAATGTCAAAATATGTCCTGTAACATTGGAAGATCACAGACTGTCACAGGCATAAAAAAAAAATTCCCTCTGATCATGTGGTTCAAATAATTGCAGCAGTCATGCAGAACTATTTCTACATGGCCAGGATTCTGAATTTTCAGGAAATTACCATTCTGCATGTCTGATCACTATGGAAATCAATTTTCTACATATAACTGAACACATACACAATGCTTTTAATGGGGTGGTGTTCTACATTGGAATGAATTACTAAATATCCAGATTTGGTCAGCTTTTAGTGGTACCTTATTATTTGTGCAAATTTATTAAATTTAGAGCATTTGACTGCCAGATCATTCAGGCTATAATTACCGTTACCTTACTACAGTGCTCTAAAAATTGGTCTCTACTCTAATTTAGTTAGCCGAGTCCCTTCCACAGCGAGTGGAGAAAAAGAGAAGTATCTCCAGTCAGTCAATTCAGCTTCTTTGGGATAAGATGATATTTTTTCTTGATTTCTTATTTCTGTCTGGTTACCACAGAGAGTGCATACAGGACTAGCTTAAAACTGGACACACAGATTTCATATAGTCTAAGGTAGATCAAGTGGATGATACCATTTATTCTGTCTTGCGCAGCATAATCAGAATAACAATTTTTATTTGTTGTTGCATGAATCAAAACCAATATAGCTTAGTGTTCCAATGCTGAAGCAGAGCTAGCAGCTAGGGAAAAACATCCTTATTTTTGCATTTAATTTGCCTTACCTAGAGATAAGAAACACAGCATTACAATGCTCGTGTTTCTTCCTCCCTCCTGCTCCCCAAAACTAAGCTTCATTTAAAGTCTGCAATTTCCTCAGAAACAAAATTATCTATGCAAAATAATAGCACTATATTTGCTATGCAGTTCCTTTGTTTAATATACCCTCTATTTCTTTCAAAGCCAACAATAGCTCATTTCAAAACACTGGCTTTGAAATGAGCTTATGACACTGAGGGGAATTGCACTGTTCCGACACCGCAGTAATCCAGGCAGAAACACCACTAGTAAAGTTGCTGAGCCTTTCCTGAAACTTTGACATTTTTCTCAAGGACAAAGAAAGCAAAACTGCTATTTCTGTGCCTGCAGCACCCTCATTTTCAGCTACACACCTATCATATGACCATATGCGGTCTTCTTTGTGCTTCCACACACCTTTTTTTTTTTTCCAACTAAGGACATTCTTGCTGGAACTCATCAAAAAAAGCAACTTGTTTAAGCATTTTACAGGCATTCACTAATTTTTTCCCCAAATATATTAGTACTACACAGACTATTGCAAAGCTCTGCTCTGAATGTGTTGAGAGTCAATTCTGAAGAACTGCAAAGTCCTTGAAAAGGCTTCCACAACTTGTTGGGCTTTGGATCAAGCCCAAAAACTAGATCACAGATTGCTACTTCAGAACAAATGTCCTAGAGAAAGGACACGGGGCCTGATATTAGTAGAGACTGAAGTTCAGTAAAGCATCCATATTCAGAATGGGCACTTACCACCTGCTTATGTTGCAGTTAAGCATCTGCAAGGACTTAAATCTGGTGTGTGTGCGATTTCCTGAATGCCCTTCTGGTTAAGGTACTGTATTGGACTGTGGCATCTGGGTTCAATTGATGAGCACTATAACAGAGGTCTTACAAGGCTGGGCAGATTCTTCAATTGCTTTGTACTACAGTTCCCTACTGTAAAATGAGAATACTAGTGCATCCATTATCTCATTCCTTGTCCATTTGTTTAGACAATAAGATGATCAGCCTAGGAATGATCTCCTAATAAGTATACATACTGTTCATCAGGAGATTCAATGCGTCAGAGGATGTTCTGTAAAATACTAACATTAACAAAAATTTGAAAATTAGCATTATAAAAGATGCCTATCTATCAAGCTTTCATTACACAAGGTCTGAAGGTACTCTACAAACTTTAATGTAAACCCACTTAATTCCTCAGTCAAGGAGGAAAAATCACTTTCAGAGTAAGAAGTTGCAACAAATAAACAGTGTGCATGAAAGTGTGCAACTTTTGTCTTTTTTTGTAAAAGAAGGCAAAAAGTCTGCCATATCCAGCTGAATATACTTCAACAAGCATAATTGCTTTATCTGTATATACACATTCATACACGTCAATCAATTTCAAATCAAGCCATTCCAGCTAAATATAGGGCATAGTTAGAGCAAATTAAAGACTAGTGACCAATTAGTGATTCTGTCAACTATCCATAGCTTCCTGCAGATAAGATTTCCTTTAGTTTTTGTCCAGCATATATATTTTGGCAAAAAAAAGGAATCAAAACCACTGAAAAAATCTTTCCCAATGATTTGCTTTGGGAGTTGGGTGCCTACCAGCTGTTTGTCTCAATCAAAATCAACACATTCATGACAATGGGAGTAACAAAGAAAGCAAGTATGAAACAGAGAACCTATACCTGTATAGCTGAGTAGTTTGAAATTACAGCAGTATTTTAACATTGATTTAGTACTTAACTGACAATTTATGAAGACATCCAAAGAATGTGGTTAGTAAGCCTTAGAGTTATTAACAGTACAAATAGGAGAGCTGTAACACAAGCCTTCCTTTGCCTATCACGTATTATTAAAACCATAGTTTTATTAGTACACATTTATTTTACTGAACGAAATGAAATAAAAAATACCACCAGAAGATCCCAA